AAGAACAAAAGCGTGTACAAACGAAAAAATATAACGATAATNCTACTTGCCGATTGTTTACTTTTCACTACGAACAAAAGCACAATTCCGGTAGCAATATTCTTATCAACAAATATGGGAAAAGTAACCAAGCCTAAAGCAACGACAGATGAGTTACCTTCAAACGTAGATAATGAGCTGAAAACTACTGAAGGTAAGCGCTCAAAAGTGCCAGAGAAATGGAAACAAAATGTACGAAAACATCTTAGGCAATCGGGACAAGAGTACGTTAGCGTCACTGGAAAATTAGTGAACAAGCGTAAAGTACATCCAGGGTGTGGAACTACTTGCCATCTTAATTGTAATGCAAATATAAATTCAGAGCAGCGACTAGAAATACATAACATGTTTTGGAAGTTAACTGATGAGCAGAAAAACTACTTCTATTGGAAGTATACATCACGAATATTGCCAAAGCGGCGGCGTGCTACGTCTACCGAAGAAACCCGTCGTGGATACACTTTCAAATATAGATTTGAATTAAAGGGTGAACTGCAATATGTTTGCAGCAAATTCTTTTTTGCAACTTTGGATATATCGCCGCGTCGTATTTACTATTTTTATGAACACTGCTACGATGAAGAAATATGTATGCCACGAACAGATACAACACAAGGGAAGGGGAGACAACGTATGCCACAACTGGCACAGCGTTTGGATGAAATAAGAGATCATATAAAAACGTTTCCCACAGAGTGTAAGGATGGCTCTAACAAGCTGTACTTGCCGGTTGGCATGAGTTTGTGTAAAATGTACAATATGTATGCAGAAAAAGTAAAAGAACCGCTAAAGCAACACTGGTACAATAAAGTATTCCAGCAGGAGTTCAATCTGGAATTCATAATATCGGCTAAAAAAACAAGTCCTGAAGACCCCTATACGCTTACTGATATAAAGAAAGAATCAGATGGCCTAGGCAGTAAGTTTTATAATTCACGAGATGAGTTCTGCAACTAATGCGCTCCAAGAATATAATAGCGATAATTAACAAAAAAAACTATATTTTAAGCCATCGAAATCTCACACCTTCGCTTAAATTTAATCGTGTCTTACCTATATTGATGATATAATATAAATAGCAATAATAATACGTACATATACTTCTATAAATAAAGACGGCTAACTGCAAAAAAATTTGCTTATAAAAAAAGCAGTAATACATAATTAAAATATTTTATTTACTTAAAAATGTTCCTATTTTCGAGAATTTGTAATATTTTGTCTAACTTATCATTTTGATCCACTAAGGCCTTATCCAAATGTGCCGTAATCTTATGCTCTAATTGATCGAACTTATTATCTATGTGAGTCTTAAGTACAGGATCCAAAAGAGGTAAATGGGCTGGGTTCGGCGAATTTCCCTCATTTATGTTGGAGTAATCTTCCCCGCCTTTGGCGGACTGCACTTTACCAGCGAGCGCTGTTTTCATTTGCTCCAAAAGCGCTAAAGATGATTGTCCACCTCCAGCAACCCCCTTCATTTGATTCGCTGCTTTCATAAATAACATGCATTTTTCTGCGCTTGGTGATATTTTCTGGCTACTCAGCATTTTTTGAACATTATGAAAATTAATGTCGACTCCAGTCGTTATACCATTAGGGTTAGGTGCAATTTGTAATAAAAAACCGAATATGCAGATTTCGTCAGATGATGTCAACAACTGTGGAAATATTATTATTCTGCGGTCGATTTTTTAAAATATTACTATGTATACCTTAAGTGTGCACTCTGTTATGCCTGACTTTTGCACCTCAATGTCGTAACGATACGAGAACACATCGCCATTTTCGTCATCCTCTGCTGTTTCGCCATACAAAGTTTCCGTATATTCTTTTAGTGGTCCGAGAAAGAGTTCCAATTTTGGGGCGGTGCATACTGTAGTTATGGATTCAATTTTATATATTGGCACCTTCAATTGTAGATGTATTTCGCATGGATTATTGGTATCATCTCTTTTTAAGAGAACCGCGTTTTGCTTTCCTATAACCTGTTCCAACTCTGGCCTATAGGAAGACGATTGGTCAACAATTTTACTTCAAATAAACATTTTCTTACTTTATAAAAATGTCCTCGTGTGTGATTTTCGTTTGGACGCTCTGTGAAAACTCGCAACCCCCAATGCGTTCCCAGTTGCAAACTACCTGTACACTTGCTGCTGATTCCATGATATCCTTTGTTCAAAAGGTAAACCAATTCCACTTTGTTTTGTTGTGTAAATAAACAAAAAAATCCATTCGATAAAAGTGGTTGCCAAATTTACATATTAGCTGATATGGATTATTCAACAAGATAAATATATATTAATGGAATGAACAATTTTACTTGAAACTTGAGAAACTTGGAACACTTCAAATATATTTTGGGAAATAATTCAATTCGTTAGCATTTAACTTCCAAAATCTCAAATTCTGTCTAAATAAATTCCATGTTCACAATTCCTGCAGCAACAGTTTTGCTTTCCTTCAAAATCAGCTGACTGGCTGAATTCAGCGTTCATTTGACGGTGCTGTTGCGCAATATGGCAATGCGGTTTGTTTGCTTTAATAAATTGGGAAATGGATATACGCGACAATTTAGCGCTTCTGTAGGGTTTTCTGATGTTTACTTACCATGGCACCGGTCATATCCAGCACAAACTCCCAAAAATGTGCGACAGTCACATGAACAAAGTAAAAATACTGGAAAGTATAAAATAATAATGGTCCGACATGGTGAATCAGAATGGAATAAGAAAAATCAATTCTGTGGTTGGTATGACGCGGGACTGAGTGAAAAGGGATTGAAGGAGGCAATATCAGCTTCAAATGCATTAAAAGAATGTGGTTACAAATTTGACGTTGCCCATACTTCTGTTCTCTGCCGAGCTATACATACGTTGGACATAATTTTAAAGGAAATCGGGCAAACGGATATACCAGTTTGCAAAACATGGCGACTGAATGAACGCCATTATGGTGGTCTCACAGGCTTGAATAAAGCGGAAACTGCTGCTAAATATGGCGAAAAACAGGTGAAAATATGGCGCAGAAGTTTTTCAACACCGCCTCCACCAATGGAAAATGATCATCCATATTACGACGTGATCGTGAAGGACCCCCGTTATGCGGATGGTCCGTCAAAAGGGGAGTTTCCCATGTTTGAATCACTTAAGCTAACAATAGAACGAACTTTGCCTTACTGGAATGAGACCATCGTACCGCAAATAAAAGAAGGAAAATTTATTATTATTTCAGCGCACGGTAATAGTCTGCGTGGTATAGTCAAGCATTTGGATAGTAAGTAGAATAAAATCATTTATCAAGCAAGATAAAAAACCTTATAATATACATTTCTAGATTTATCGGAAGAGCAGATTATGGCATTAAATTTACCCACCGGAATTCCATTTATATACGAATTGGATGAATGTCTTAAGCCAGTAGTTTCAATGAAATTTCTAGGGGATGAGGAGACCGTGCGGAAAGCAATGGAAGCAGTTGCTGCTCAAGGAAGAGCCAAATAGAAACTAGGATTCATTAACTTTGTGGGGAGAAACTTGAAAAATTCTATAACAAAATCAAACTGACCAGCAAAATATAAAAAATGTGTATAAGTTCGTAATAAAAAACGCCAAAACACAGGCAGGTCTCAAATCGTAACAGTCATGAACGAGTGACTCCAAAGTAATAACCCACTACAGTCGTTTGTTTACGTGACGACTTGCTTGTTCACGACTGTTACGATTCGAGCACTGTTTTTATTTAAGAATGTATCTAATTGTATGCTGTAATAGATATTTTTAAAATCCCGTAGGAGGTTATTGAGTTATCTGCATACCAGACAGGATTTTAAAAGAAAATAAGAAAATTAGTTAGGGGCTTTCTCTATTAAGGCTACGATATATACATATCGCACGTTTAATAATTTATCGAACTATTTCAAATTTTAAATTTTGTGGGAAAGGCAATCAAAGTTTTATCAATTCATACAGTTGGTGTACAAAAAGACAGATGGAAGGACACATATCTTCGCCATATTTTGGAAGTTTGGTTATCTGCTAGACTGAACATATTCTACTTATCAAGCTTATTAATTGCATAATGAAATCTCCAAACACGTAAATTTTGAGTTACGTTGTTCGCTGCACCGTGGATATGGATCACGATCCATCAATACTGCATGCTACACCGTCAATAAATATCGCGATACTTGGAACACGTCAATAAATACTGACCGTGCCACAGTGCCCATTAACAAGTCTATTCGGCGCTGGTAATACAAAGTTTGTAACCGGTAAACGAAGTTCCTGTCAATTTTTAAACCCTTTTCGCATTCTGTGTACTTTTGTAACCGGTTAATTTTGTTACCATCTCATAAGCTGGTAACAAAGTATTGCCCCGTGAAATATGCAACGCCAGAATTTGCACAATTGGTCACGGTTGAATGTGTTACCAACGTATCTAGAACCACGGTGACAAATAATAATAAAATTTTCCCGTTACAAAATGTTCGGTAACGTGCAGAATTGACCTGTTACAGGAAAATATTATTACGAAAAAATGTTACCAGTTCTTGTCACCGCGATTCTAGGTACCTTGGTAACGCAGTTAAAATATTCAGCAATTCAGCTATGAAGAATTGCGGAAATTCTGACATTGCATATTTCACGGGGCAATACTTTGTTATCAGCTTATGAGAATTGTAGATGAGTTAGTCCGCTAGGTGACACAGGAGTTGGGATATTTGAAAACCCTGTATTTATAGTCCGATTTGGTTCATATATATTAAGAAAGCTTATTCCAAAAATATTTTCTTGCCATTAACTTTTTTAACCGCCAAACATTTTAATGGAAGTTCAAGAATGATAGAATCGTGATGGACGTTGAAAAAAAAACAAATCTACCAAATACAACTCTGCGAATCGTACTGGCGGAATTGCTGTGTCTCAGAAATTTTAGCTGTCATTTCCTTCAAATGACCTTGTGCTGTCATTTATAGGTCAAATAAAATTTTCCTTTCGGCATAACAATCCAGTTGGAAATTTTTAATTTGGCTTGGTCAGTTCCGGTTGAACTTTATTATTACTTAAAATGTCCGGAAAATATAGAATTGTTATGGTTCGCCATGGTGAATCCGAGTGGAATCAAAAGAACCAGTTTTGCGGATGGTTTGATTCTGCTTTAAGTGATAAAGGAAAATCTGAAGCTGCAGCTGCTGGAAAGGCTGTTAAAGATGCTGGTTTAAAGTTCGATATTGCTCATACATCAGTGCTTACCCGAGCAATTATTACTTTGGAGACTATTCTCCAAGAGAGTGGACAGTCGGGTATTCCAGTTTGCAAGTCATGGCGTTTGAATGAACGTCACTACGGAGGACTCACGGGGTTGAACAAAGCCGAGACTGCCGCCAAATACGGTGAGGATCAAGTTAAAATCTGGCGCCGCAGCTTCGACACTCCCCCACCACCAATGGAACCCGATCATCCATACTATGACGTAATTGTTAAGGACCCACGTTATGCCAACGGCCCGTCTCAAGAAGAATTCCCTAAATTCGAATCACTTAAATTGACTATTCAACGCACATTACCGTATTGGAATGATGTTATAATTCCACAGCTTAAGGAAGGCAAGCAAATCATCATTGCTGCTCATGGCAATAGTTTACGCGGTATCGTTAAGCATTTGGATAGTAAGTAATATTAGAAATACCAGAAGAAAAAAGTTTAAAACAAAAATGTTTCATTACAGATCTCTCAGAAGATGAAATTATGGCTTTGAATCTGCCTACCGGCATTCCATTCGTCTATGAATTGGATGAGAACTTCAAACCTGTTGTCTCTATGAAATTCCTTGGTGACGAGGAAACCGTACGAAAAGCCATTGAAGCTGTTGCGGCACAAGGCAAAGCTAAATAAAGATGCACACGGCTCTCTAATATATTCATATTCATAGGCAACATAAGACATTAGTAAACTAAATAGAAATTTGGGAGATCCAAAATTTCTTTAAGCAAATATAACTGCTAGCCACATAGAATATTAAAGTTGTTCGTATACTACGAATATTACTGTTGTGGCAAATTGTTGTTTAAATTATTAACGGTCAATAAATTATTGTTAAACATCAGTTTCGTTTTTTATTTTGACGCAGTTATTTTCAAGCTTTAATTTAATTCATGATTACCGTTGCTTAGCTTTTTTGACAATAAATTTTGTAACAAATCATAATACAAATATTTTATTTTTTGTACATGTAACAAATGCATTTGAGCGGTCAGTTTACAACAACAACAGCGGCANCAATAAATTATTGTTAAACATCAGTTTCGTTTTTTATTTTGACGCAGTTACTTTCAAGCTTTAATTTAATTCATGATTACCGTTGCTTAGCTTTTTTTGACAATAAATTTTGTAACAAATCATAATACAATTTTATTTTTTGTACATGTAACAAATGCATTTGAGCGGTCAGTTTATTTTTTCTTATGTTTCTTTCCATCCTTAGCTAATTCTAATCCTAATATACATTTCGGTGGAACTTTATAAGTTTCGGTCAATAAATTGTAAACAAATCGCACCTGGTTGCCTTGTATTTGTAGCTGTTCGGCTTTTTGATGTGGTAGTTTTACCACAGTGGTGCTTGCCGCAGCACCTTGTTTACATAACTTTATGAATTCGGGTACAATAATTCCATAGCATTCGACGTTGCTGATTAGAGTTACCTTTTTATTACCAGAACGAGTAGCAAGGGACATTTGAATCAGAGGCTTATTAGCTGCTACGCTTTTCAGTTCACACATTTGGAAGCTGTACTCCATTTTTCTGGTAAGTGTGCCACATATTTGACTAACGGATGCTGTCTTGACATCGCATATCCTTTCGAGGGTTTCATCTAATTGGATTGTACCGCCGGAAGGATCCGCTTTGGGAAGATTGTGCTTGCTTATATATTCGCGAACGATTTTTTTTATTTGTGCAGTTGGTATAGCTTCGCCTCGCTTGTAATTCACTTTCGCAAAGAAAGGCGCCGTCGCATCCGTAATTATATAAGTTTCCGTCAACTCAGAACGGAACAACGGCTGATCTTGCAATTCACCGTTCGTTGGTTGCTTAGGTGATTTGAAATCTGTAATAAAATTAACTAGTTCTGGATGATCAAGGTCAATGGCAGTTATTTTATCTACGCCCTTGGACTCCTCGCGCACGACTATGAAGCCCTCATCAATCATTTCGTTCAGGAAATTCGAGAGCTTCTTGTATTTTGTCTTCTTTAAGTCAATGGGTTGAGGCGCCTCGGGCACAACATACAAGCGGTAGAAATTGCTTGTTAAAAGTGGCAATTGTAATGTTTTCCCATGATTCTTCAGCGCCGCCAGAAAGGCGTTTTTTAGTATAATTTCAGGTGTTGTTGCGGAACCTTCTACGGAGGTATCTTGGGTAATACTTTCGCGATTTTTAACATCTTCTGTAACATCATTTTCGGAAATTTTAAGGTTCTGCACATCAGGAAGTTTTGTGCCCGCATCTGGCGTTTCTGATAAATCNTATATATTCGCGAACGATTTTTTTTATTTGTGCAGTTGGTATAGCTTCGCCTCGCTTGTAATTCACTTTCGCAAAGAAAGGCGCCGTCGCATCCGTAATTATATAAGTTTCCGTCAACTCAGAACGGAACAACGGCTGATCTTGCAATTCACCGTCCGTTGGTTGCTTAGTTGGTTTGAAATCTGTAATAAAATTAACTAGTTCTGGATGATCAAGGTCAATGGCAGTTATTTTATCTACGCCTTTCGACTCCTCGCGCACGACTATGAAGCCCTCATCAATCATTTCGTTCAGGAAATTCGAGAGCTTCTTGTATTTTGTCTTCTTTAAGTCAATGGGTTGAGGCGCCTCGGGCACAACATACAAGCGGTAGAAATTGCTTGTTAAAAGTGGCAATTGTAATGTTTTCCCATGATTCTTCAGCGCCGCCAGAAAGGCGTTTTTTAGTATAATTTCAGGTGTTGTTGCTGAACCTTCTACAGAGGTATTTTTGGTAATACTTTCGACATTTTTAACATCTTCTGTAACATCATTTTCGGAAATTTTAAGATTCTGCACATCAGGAAGTTTTGTGCCCGCAACTGGCGTTTCTGATAAATTGGTTGCCGCTACAATATCAGCCAACGTCAACTTTTCGCTTACCTGCTTTTGCTTATCTTCCTTAGCACCAAGTTCTGGGAAGTCATCAGTGGTTAGTGGCGTTGCCTTTTTTAAGGGTACTTGCTGTACTAATGTAGGCTCATGTCCCCATAATTTGTCACCGAATATGTGTAGCATTTTCACAGCAACGCCCTGACGACCACACATATACAAATCATCAGAGGACCGAGGTAAATAGCCAACAGCTACTGCAGATTCATTTGACACCAAATTCACGGCCATTAACTGACCTTGACGATATCGGCCATACATATTCATACCAGTGCCTTTCGGCACTACGCCCGGCAGCATTAGATCAGCACCATTAGAAAGTTTTGGCAATACATCACGAAAAGTGGTAAAGTAGGGCAACAATGTAGACACAAGCCACAAGGCGTATAAAGTTGGAGCCAACTCCCCTGACTCCAGTTCGAAGAACATGGGCAACTTGTCCACACAGAAGACGTTGGTTTGCATGCCGCCATGTGTTGTCAGTTTCAGTTGAGTCACAGCGCTCTTTGAAGGAATAAGAATGCTGATCTCCTCGGGTGTTGAATCCGGAAATGTATTTTCTACTCGTTGTCGTAAACGCTTCGATTCAGAGCCCTTTAATGGAGCATTACTCCGAAGTTTATATGGTTTAAGAAACATCCCGGTGAATCAACATAGACGTGCCAAATCGCGACAGCAATAACAATGTATCGATAACAGAAGAGCTAGCAGACTTATCGAAAAAACACAATCCGAGGGTGGCAAGTTTTTGTATTGGTTTAAAATGTATGATTATTTATTTAATAATAAGGATATAATATGACTTGTTTGAAATTTCAATTGGCAATCGGGTAAGAGTGTTTTTACTTATTCGGTTAACAACGATTTTATGAAACTACGTTCATCCAAGGCATATTAAATAAGGTAGAACTGATTTTAACATTTCTCTCTTTTGAACACCGACTATAATGTCAATGGGTAGGTTCAGAAGGCGCAACAGTTGAGCCCAACCGTTGCTAACAAAATCAGTGATTTATTCCAAAGTCGTTCCCGTACACCAAAATTTCTGTATCTGGGAACACCCTCGTGATAGTGAATGAGCAACTGTTCCCAGAATGAAGTTTCAAGATTAACTGGCTAACCAGAATGTAGTACCACAGCCACATTCGTCGTACGTGGCCCCCTGCTGCTCAAACAGTGCAGCCTCCACGGCTAACCCCAGTCCACCTGAGCAGCCGCACACAATCACTACAGCACCACAACATAACAACACCACAGCCTATACCACAGCCACGACAGACCACAGAACACACACAACCGCACCACTACCCCCACGCCGCACCAACTTCTGGTTCCTCCTACAATCTGCACGGTATGTCAGACCAGGATATTCCGTAATGTGACATCAGTCAAGTGCAACATCTGCCTTGGCTGGTACCACTTTAGGGCATACTCAGGTCTTCGCACCACGCGAGATTGGACGAGGAACTTCGAGGGCCCGTGTTGCGCTGCTCGGTCGCAGATCTCAACTGCGTCATGCCCACACACATCCCTCACACCCCGCATCACCACACGTCTCCCGAACCACATGAAGCTCCTTCAATTTAACTGTAACGGGCTTCAGAGCAAGATCGAGGAGATAACCATCTTCATGGGAAGGCATGGCATATTGATAGCTGCGGTCCAAGAGACGAAGTTGCACAGCAATTCAACACTGTTGAATTGTGCTGGGTACCACGTCCACCGTCGAGATCGCGAGCGAGATAATGGTGATGGCTTAGCGTTCATAACGCACCACACCGTGCAGTATCGTCTTATCGAAGCAGACATCGACCGCAGGGATACCACCCNAGACATAGAGCCACAGAAGTGGCCAACCGAACAGACAGCTGCTTGCAGAGGAGCCCTCGCCTAGGCACGTCAGGAGGCATCTATATGAACTGACGGACGAAGTCCAGAGGTTCGTCAAGCAGCCTCTGGACCCGTCAGCTTACCGACTGGCCCGGAATGGCATTCACAGGGAGTCAGTCTCGAGTTATGTAGACTCTAGACCTGACGAGACGGGGCTTCATCTGCCTCGGGAGACACGAACGACAATAACCCAACTTCGATCTGGCTACTGCAGCAGGTTAAACTCTTACCTAAGTAGATTGAATGAGGATGTGCCAAATGAGTGTCCGGCATGCGGAGAGACCCCACATGACTCGAAACTTCTCTTCGCATGCCCGGAAAATCCGACAATCCTAACGGCTTTGTCCTTGTGGACCGACTCTATAGAGGCTGCACGCTTCCTAGGGATACCGTTAGTGGAACTTGACGACAACGACTGAGATATCAACCGATCTGGGCGGGTTTTTTGTAGCCGCCACAAGATCAACAACAACCACAGCCACAAGCTATTTCGCTAGCTACATCAGCTACATCAGCTACATAAGCAACAATACACCATAACCACAGCTACATATTTAGTGCGTTTCCAGCACGTCTACGATTTGCAGGTTTTGCAGGATTTAGTCCAAAGTCGTTCCCGTACGCCAAAAATTCTGTATCAGGGAACACTCTCGTGAGAGTAACTGAGCAACTGTTCGCAGAATGAAGCTTCAAGATTAACTGGCTAACCAGAATGTAGTACCACAGCCACAAGCTATTTCGCTAGCTACATCAGATACATAAACAACAATACATCATGACCACCGCTACATATTGTGGGAAGTTTGGAGCAGTTAGAATATTTTAACTTTTGGCAGCTCTTGCTACATACCACAGCCTCACCATTCTGGTTAGCCAGTTAGTCCGGAGGGTTTCTTCTGGCAAATTCATGTTTGAACCGCAAGAACAAATATACCAATTGAATTGGAGAATGTAATTAATATTTATACTAAGTACCTGTAAATAGTACACAGTACACAATACTCATTTCTGCATTAAGAAAATTTTGAGTAATTTGTTCGGATTTTGAGGACTTTTCGTTTGTTTTTGAGGAATTTGGTAATTTTTTTTTGGCAACACTGATTCTATCATTTTTGTTCGGAACCATTAAGGGAATTCTACAGAGACCGGAACAGATATGATACTAAGCCTGAGTTATATTTAGTCTGTTCCTTTGAACTTCAGACTAAAACCTGAGGAACTGTCAAACTACAATTTTACTCTCTCAAGTGAGAGTAAAAGGAGAACAGATGCAGAAGTGCACGGGAACGCAAAAAGCACTATTTCCTGTAAAAACGTCAGTCGGTTTGTTTACATGTCATTGGTACAACACTGATTTGGCTGAAATATCACTAAATAATTATTAAAATCTATATATATTCGAATATTTCGTTGTTTACTTCCATTTTTTAACAAATATAAGGTTATTTGCGCTCACCGCTTTCTGTTTTTGTTTGCACATGTAAATCAGCTGATCGTTTGACACTTTTTGTGAACTTACAGGAAAAAAACTCCAGACTAAATCCAGTAACTTCTGACTAGGAACAGTCGCTCAGTTACTCTCTCAAAAGTGTAACCACTTACAGGTTTTATCTCAATAGGAACGACTTCCTGTAATTTCTGACTAAATCCTGTAAACCGGACTGCTATTGGAACAGACTAATTGTACATGTATAAAAACATCCCAACGAACTTTTCTGTAAGCTTTGCGTGTGGTTCTGTGTAGTTATAATGGAGCGCAACACTTTTTCTGTTTATCAATTCTAGTCAGTTTTTAATTAAAATAATTTTTCGCTACACGAAATGGAATCATTTTTGGGAAGGGGGTGAAGCTTAATCAAAAAAGAGTTATTTTCTCTTCGCAACGGGCACATTATGGCCCAGTGCCTACATAGTACATATGTATATATTTTGAAAAAAATCTGTTTGTAAGTTCAAAATTTCATTTCTTATAATTTCAGGAAGAAAACTTTCCACGAAGAGTTTATATTCAAATGATTCACTTCAGGAAGAATCCAAATCGGCTAAGAGAAATGATTTAGAATTGGGCTTATAGTCAATCTTGGTTTTGGCACCGTTTATTAAGCTATCTTTTTCTTGGAACAGAGTTTTTCAAGCAAATTTGATATAATTTTCATCGCCATTGATCGAACCAAGGCACATTAAACAGGTAGTATCAGTAGAGCAAAAACAACATTTGCGTGTATTTTGTTGTTGCTTCTGGTATCGAAAGTGTCAAAAACTGTTCTGAATTTTTTCTTCTAAATCAAAGCGTGCCATGTGAAATACAAAAAATTATAAAAACTAAAAAATTGAAATTGGAAAAAATAAAAATTGATGCAACTTTCTTTCCTAGTAAATTTGTTTGCTTCTCGAAGCATTGATCCATCCTTTGCAAGGCCCAGTAATCAGCGGTCGTGCTGCTGAGTTGGGCGAACGTTCCAAAAGCTGCTATTCAATCGCTTGTTTTGTATGGAAAAAGGTTTCACATGCAAATGGATTTTAACAATTCAGAATTTTTGTGAAAAAAAATTAAAAATATTTGACATTTTCGAGACCAAATAATTTGAAAATAAATCAAATCAGCTGCTCTACTGATACTACCTGTTCAATGTACCTTGGATCGAACCCTTCATAAACGGCACTATCTGACACATAAAAAAAAAGAAAGCATTTTGTGTCGGCATTTTGGTAGAAAGTATATTTTTGATGCGGCGACCCTTCTCCTTATTCCAACAGTCACAGGTATTCACCAAATTGAGCAAGTGGTCCGGTACTTTGGTTTTGCCGATTTTGACAGTTGTGGTAACTTGTAAATAAACGTTTGTTTACAAATCAGCGGCAAAGAGAAATTTGAATTATAAGTGAAAAATCAGTTTAAATTGTGTTAATTTGCAATGATTTCGCTTCTGCTCCAAGCAGCCTCCTTTAGCAAGTTAGCTAATCAATCCCGCTGAGATGTTGCCGTAGTTTGCTGCAGTAGCCTTAACTGCAAAGCAATGGAGTGCACTAAAACGTTCACAATTCTCTAATAGATTTGGTGAAAAATGCAACATTTTTGCATTTAGCAGAATTGAAACACGTTTTTCGCTGTAAAGTGAACTGTTTGTTGGCAGTTTCAACTCGTTCTTCTTTTCGCTCTCTTCTTTGTTTACTTGTGGTACACAAATGTCAACAGCCAGGACGGCGCAATCTTGGTCCGCCACCATGGCAAAAGGGCAGATTAGCTCAAGCAACGACGGTTGTGAACAGTTGGTGAATACCCATATTGCATTTTAATATAGTGAAGTTTTTAATTTATATTAAGTACACACTTTACACACTCACATTAAGTTAAAATAAAAATATACCTATGATATAATAATTATAATTTTGCTTAGCACTATTCATAAAAGATAATGTGTACGTATGTATGTATATATATAAATATGTATGTATGTATGTTAGCAAACTAATGTAATTTTAATAACATTTGATAAGATTAACACACGATATAGAGAACAAAGGTGGGTACTTTGGTTTCGGCAATTCTCAAATAAAAGTAAACAACACTTTAGATGCACTAAAAACACAATTTTTTAGCATCTTCTTCTTCTTTATTTAATCTTTTACAATTTAACAAAATTAATACACGTTTCTTATCGAAAGGTTCAACGTTAAGAAAATTTATTGTTGTGATTGACTGGAACATTTTTGCCACCAGAACAACAACCGTTTTAACAAAGCAATGCTAGTTTGGCTGTGCGTTAAATATAACGGTTAGTTGAATTTGATTCGCACACACAAATATCTGGGTTCTCTCTTGTCAAGTAATACAACAATATTAATACAAAATAAGTGTGAATGATTTTTTAATAAGAAATTTTGTTTTGATTCGATTTAGTTTACTAACACACATACTGTAATTTTATAAAAATTACTTAGAATACTTAAAAATGTTTACATTGGCTTCGCAACACAGAATTAAATTACACTTTTCACGTGGAAATGTAAAATATTTACCATTATTTTACAACAATAAGAACACACAAAATTTTATTTAAAAACAAATTTGATTATCAATTAGTGAGCTACTTTCGGTGTACCATCCCTTCGTTGCCTTGCTGACGCCTCGAGCTTTAACCATGCGATGATATCCTGGTAGTTGCGGGACATCCAATCGACATTGATACGCACCTGTTCGAGAATTTGTTGAATGGACCGGCCATTATCTTTAACATCCGTTTTAATAAAAGACTCCAATTCAGTGAGGAAAAATTTCGAATTCATGCGTTTTGTGGCAAATTTCAAAATCATATTCAGATTGGACATGGTGGAACCCAAGCTATGTTAAGTAAAGAGATACAGTTATAAAATTTAAAATTAAAAAAATAACAATCGGGATTTTTTTTTATTTACCATTATTACTTACTATGTCTTGATCTCCTCCCAGTTATTACGCATGAAATCAAAGGCGATCTGCTGGCCCACCACATTGCCCGACACTGCCGCAAATACCCTATATACGTCTTGTTTGCGAATGTCTTCACCACTGATTGAGCGTCGCAAGTAGCGCGCCAATATCCACGGTTCAAGGGAGTAGCCGAGTGCGCTGAGTAGTAGTTCTTTTTCGGTTGAGACTGTAGTACTGCGATAGCGTTGGAAAGCGAATTCCCATTCGTACTCGCTGCCATATTGAATTGCTGTGCAATAAACAATGCCACGCAAATTCGGTGGAATTCTGAAGTCAAAGCGAAACGTAAGTACATATGCAAGTGTGTAGTATAAAATGAAAAAGAAAAAATAATAATTTTATTTCTTGCTTACGGATTATTGTTGTCCGGATTGGCCACCTCCATCCAATTGTGAAAGTGACGTGCGCTCTCCAATACGCAATGACGATGGCCGAGATGGCAAGCCATGGACAATATTTCGACACGTTTAATCAATTTCAACATATCCTCCCCTCCGTCGGCATCCTCTGTGAAATTATTCGGCGAAATGTCTTTGTAAACGTTCTCCATCAGATCCAGAAGGTAGTTCTAAAGGGTTAAGTACACGTTACATATATACATACATATAGGTTGATTCAAGAGTGATACAGATCTTTGACAGCAATTATTTGTAACATGTTAATGTTTTTTCTTAATTATACCTTTTTCAGACAATTGGTACTACGGACCTTGGCAAACTTAGTTATGGAGCGGTACTCAGTTGAACAACGCGTAAAAGTGATACACACGTTTTATAAAAATGGTCGTTTTCGATGGACATAACCGGCCCTCTGAGTCAACAATCAGCAAAACTGCCTCATTTGAGTTAATGAAAATCCACACGCCATTCAAGAAAAAACAATGCACCCACAACGAGTCACTGTTTCGGGTAGTTTTTCAGTTGGCGAAGTCAACGGACCGTACGACTTGCCGGGACCGTTGTTACGGCGAACGTTATCGTGACATGATAACAAACTAAATGGTCTGCAATAGAAGACATGCAAAGCATGAAGCAATGGCTTTATTGCGAACGAATTTCTCAGGGCGAACACAATAAGGTAAAATGGTCGCTGAGATCTTGCGATGTGACACCAATGAAATTCTTTCTCTGGAGCTCTAGTCTATGCCAATAAGCCCGAGATGGTGCGAAAGGTGAAGAACGAAATCACACGCGCTATAAATGACATACATCCTGAACTATGCCAAAAATTCATCGAAAAATTTGATATGCGCTTCATTTTTTACCAGATAAGTCTTGGTAGGCATTTGACGGATATTGTGTTTTATAGTTAAGGCTCCGCCAGATAAAAATTCGTTTCTGCATCACAGGGATCTTTTGACTGACATCCAAGTCAACTCTGTGATTTTGAATAGAAGACGCCACATTGGCAACGCATGCGTTGCCGCAACTGATAAAAATTTGCTGCCCAAAAATGTATGGAACGAATTCAAACTAGAGGTTTACGCCGATAGATATTGCGGCGGCGGCGTCGTCAATGTTAGAAATAATCGGCGGCGGCGGCGACGCCGGCGCCTCAAATAGCGCCGGCGCATCTGGCCATTAGCCACATACCAAAGAGCATAGAAAACCATGAAGCTGCTAAACTTATCCTATCATTTTGTGAGCGTCAGCCATTCACCACTCTTATTCAAGTNCCGCAACTGATAAAAATTTGCTGCCCAAAAATGTATGGAACGAATTCAAACTAGAGGTTTACGCCGATAGATATTGCGGCGGCGGCGTCGTCAATGTT